ATATATGCATACACACAGACATATGTGTGTATACATAGGCCAACATTGATTAACCATTTACCATATATCAGATACTGTAAAAATAACTTTTATCTTGTTAAATCCTACAACAATCCCTATGGGACTTGTGGTTCCTAGTTTAAGGATAGGAAATTGAAGACTGCAGAGGTTGTGAGCACAGCTGGAGCTCAAGCCCCGATCATGTCTGTGGCCAAAGTCCTACCTTTTACTAAAACAGAAGTGAGAGAGTTTGCAAAGTAAAATCTTAGATCCTGGAAGGCAAATAAGATAGAGTGATTGTGTAAGGTTAAAATAAAGGACATGATGCAAAATCTAAAGAGAAGTAAAGAAAGGACAAACCCCTGGGTATAGGAGCAGATAATTAGATGGAGAAAATGAATGTGAAGATTTAATAGGAGATAAGCTACATTTTGAAAATCATCTTTTAATTTAATTATATAATTGGGAGAAAAAAGAGTGCCAAGACAAATCAGATGGTAAAGATACAGGAATATAGGTAAAATTCTCAGATATCATAGTATATATTCCTTTAAAGACACTTTTTATAGAGCATCTTTATAAATGACACCAATTTTACATGTTCACATTTGGTTTAACTAGAAGATCACCTTCAGTATATTATTAAATACGAACAGCTTTTGATTCTTTGAAATTTATGCCCTGAGGCTCCTGGCAGATTTTTAGAAGAAATGAGGATAATTTTACTCTTGTTACTATTTGCTAACTTCCTGCAGGTTTGATTTAAATGTTGGTTGATGTTAGCATATATATTCACACATATGTCTGTGTGTGTGTGTATAAATTACCCATAGGTATACCTAGCCCAGAAAAAATATTTGGTTTATTTGGCAATTTGTGAGATAGGGATATCCAAAGTTATGTACATCTGTCAGCAGAGATTTTTCATGGACTGTCCAGGCTAGGAAAGTTATAAAACCACAGGATCAGATCTCTTTACACTACTGTTTTTGTGTGTGAGCTTTAGGACATTGTGAAATGAAATAAATATTCTGTGTC